AAAGTACAATTTCTTGACGTTTTAATTCAAATAGTAAGCTTAACTTAGGAACACATATTGCTCCACATGCAAGAATGAACAGTAACTGTTAACAGCGTATTTACTTACTGCATCTCCCGACAGTTTTAGTTTGCCGATAGCTCAGGTGAGGCGTTTCTGCAGGCTGACTATCAACGGTGACCACTTTCATAACTAAACTGGAGCCGGCCGCTTCGATCAGCTTCACTACCTCGTCGTGAGAGACACAACGAACGTCAATACCGTTCAGCTAAATGCACCGTTATGAAGGTCGCGAAATAAAACATGACATTTATTTATAAAACAAATATATAAATCCAATTATATATTCTAACCAGAAAGATATTAGAATGATTTCTAAGAGAGAGTAAACGGCACGTAAGAAAAACTCCAGATCGATGGCAGGATGGAATGAAGAAGTGTACTAGATCACGATCGAATGGGTATGAATCACAGAAAACAGAAGTTCATGGAACAGTTTTTGAGATTTCTTATCCATATTAGCAGGTGAAAGGCTTGCAACCATTTTTAGGCAGGTTGCACGAAGCACCAAGAAATTTGTAATTAACATGAGAAATTTATGCTGAACATGAGATTTGAACCTACTGCCCCCGTCCGCTGTGAGATGTTTGACAACTATTTTGCCTAGTTTTCTTATGGCTTTGCCGATAGAGATGTCCGCTTTGTCATATCGCTGCACTTAATCTCATGTAACCTGTTCATCACTTATCACCCGTTTATCACTTTATCCTCCAGTGGATAAAGTTTCCGCTAAGTCTATGATTCGAAATTACTGCCGGTTTACATAAAATTTGAAAGTGACTCTCTGAGCACCTTTAATCTTGCTACAAAGTGCGGGAATTAATGGGATTAGTGATAGAAATATTTTTATTTCTGATGTTTATGCTTAACACAAAGCTTGGGCTTAAATAAATTCTTTTCAACAGTTTCTGTATCTTGCAGCTGTTTTTACGATGGTACTTTTCCTGATGTCCGATATCTGCTATGAAAGCTGAATTAGTGGTCAAGGACTTAAACAGTGGAGGTAAATATCGGGTACAGGATAGACACAGATGTAGGATTGTAGTGATGTTAGAATGTTAAGGTTTTCAACAGACTGCAAAGTCAAACTGCAGAACGTTCAGAAACCAGCACATGTAAGGCGTCGATACGGTCTTTATGTTTTTTTATGTTAGCGGTAATGGCGAAGTCAACATTTTACTCTTCCACACGATATTTTTCTAACAGTTGTAATCGTCTGCAGCAGGTTGGTGAGGTTGGTACATTTACGCTTGAATCCATCTTGTTTTCATACGCCAATGGTGACAATCATTTCTGACAGTAACGTACAGATGGAACGGCGAAAAGATGACAAACGATGAACGATGTCAAAATTCAAAACCTTACTTCAACAAGGAAATCACCGGATTTCACGCCGGCTTTGAGCGCGTTTCCGTTTGCAGCCACGGATTTGAAGTACTGCAGCGACGGCATTTTTTGATTCGGTTCAAACTGAACCGTGGCATCCAATTCTAAGAAAAATTATTAAGCATAAACTGTAAGTGAAGAGTGCAGAACAAACAGGACAAGAACGTACTTTGGGCACCGGCCAGCAAAAATCCAAAGCCATTGGGTCCTCTCGGTACAACTACAGTGTGGGTGTGGTTAGTCCTATATAAAAAATATATTAATGAAAGACAAAAACTGAACTACGAACAAACGACAGTGCTGACTTACGGTGTCGGAGTCTCGCGACGAGCCTGGTATGGAGAGGAATACGGCGACTGCAACGACGTCTCGTAGGCTACAATGCCGCGATACACAACGATACATTAAAAAAACCAGCCAACGACGAACTTACGGGTGAACTTGTACTTTCCGGTCAGCGCCTGCTTCATGACGTTGGCCAGGAAGTGCCGCTGGTCGACCGCCAGCGTCATGTTGCCAGGTACCTTGACGTTACCGTTGCCCATGGCGCCGACGTTCGAATCGCATTGCCCTTGATTAGGCGGCATATTATGCGGCGTCACTGCATCTGTACAACACGAATATTCGCCGTATTCGGACACCGATGACATTGGCGGCTTTGCCATCGTCCTGACCCTCCGCCACTTGCGTTTGCTGTTGTACAGGGGTGCTCCGCGGTACGGAACTGCAACACGACGTCGAGAGCATTTTAAGACTGTTGAAACCAGCAGACACGCATACCTGTTTTTGCTGAGTCGTAGTTCTTTAACAGGTTCGCTATTTCCGGACTACTAGCAAGCAATGCCAAGTGGTAAGCCGTCTGTTGTTGGTTGTTCATGATATTCGGATCAGAACCTCGGAACAACAACACTCGGGCGCAAGATACCTGAAGATCCGAATTAAAAGCGATGAAATACTTTTTCATGTCTCAGAAAACTAACTGTAGCAGAGTATATCGTGCCTGTTTGTGGATCTGATGCACTGGGCTTTTAAAAGATCCTTTCCTACGCTATCCAAAACAAAAAATATTCAAAATCATCCAAGCTGAAACTTTGCTGCCAAAACGCATTCTTCGCTTAGCTGTTAGTCCGATTTGACATACTGATAGTCAAATATTCAAAAAGCACTGATCTTGTAAGCTTTTTACTGCTTAGTGATTCATTTCTAAATCACTTATTGCAAGTGCTCAAATGCCATGGAGCCGTGGTTTGCTTCAATGGTCCGCTAGGCCGACAGAAGCAAGGGAACGGTGCCGTTACGCCGTTTCAATCAGGCATCAAAAGAGAAAACGTATTTACTCTCTGTTGTTCTTTGTGAAACTTCAGAAAGGATAAAAACCAAGATCAACAGACCAGAGGAAAACAGATTAGTGGAGCATGGATTTCTCTTTCACATGAATAAACAGTAAATAAACGCATTCAATATTAAACCATTTTTCTCGTTACAAAGTCAATACGATATCCTGCAACCTTATTCTGATATTATTCGATGTGCCATAAAAACTGCTATGCCCCTGGCACCGAAGGGAATCTGGTAGTGCAAAAATGGCAGAACGATTAATTCAGGCTTGACTCTACTAGCTGGTGTCTCGCCATCGTGAGATGCGTGATCGCTGCCGATTTTGCCTCCGGATTCAATAGTAGAGGCACATAATGCGCTACATGCGAACTAAACCATTCAAATAATTAAATTAAACGAATCATTTAAACAAATTAATTTGTGCATACGTTATACAAAGACATTTAACGCTGCGCCAGTGCCTAAATCCTTTGAAAACGTCTTTTGAAGAACGTCTACTACTTCAATAATCTCTTACTTTTTCATTTTCTATTATTTTTCGGCCATTTTACGCAATTTCTAGACTCTGCTACCAGAATGCTGTTGTTCGTCTATGGTTCTAACAGACATTCATCCTAAACATGAACAATGTGCTCTGGATGTGAAAATATTTTGAGACTTGTCACGTAGCTGGTACTGAATTAAATAAAGACTTAAACAGCGAGGAAACTGGAAAAACCGAGGCACCTGAAATCGTCGGAACTGCTCAGTGAACGTACAAGTTTCTGAAAATCTGATACGCTTGAGGTGTAGCAGAGTATCGCCTGGATTTACAATTTCATGGCTTCTTCTGCGTTAAACTCTAAAGCTGACGACAACTGCATAACGGTTATGATGGAGCATTTTGAGGGTGGCAGTTAACAAACTGTAGAGATGTGTTTAGCTATATTTCGACGACACTGCCTCAATGAGAAGCATGTGCAAAATCGTGCTATCTGTATATCTGTTTGAGGCACTAGTAACTGTTCATATATCATAATCTAAGGATAGCAAAGCTTCAAAAAGTAGCCCGGATCTGTCAGTTAGAAATGGTCTCAGGCCTATTTAGTAACATATGTTGCTGATACAGAATTTTTTATATGAGAGGTATTAGAAATGGAAGCAATAAACTAGTAATATTAATTGGTTAAGCGGCGAACAGAGGAAATACGGTTTAAAGGCAAATTAGAATCAATTAGGCTTCAAAAACATCTAGGCATACAAAGCTTTAATTTTATGCACATGTAGCATATAATTAGTACGTTCGCGACAAACACAGGAACAACCTGCAAATAAAATGTTACCAGTTTCACGTGGAGCTGCAGTAGCTAAAATAGCACGGTACTGTAGTCTGATGACCCCCTAGGCAACTAAGAGTGACAGGCCATGACGTTCGGACAAAAAGAACTAAGCACTAAGACGTGTTCAAACTTCGTTCGTAGAATAGGCTCGTTTTGTGAGTGACATGTTGGGCTGATTCACAACCAAAATCTGCTACATCAG